TCTCTCTCTCTCTCTCTCTCTCTCTCTCTCTCTCTCTCTCTCTCTCTCTCTCTCTCTCTCTCTCTCTCTCTCTCTCTCTCTCTCTCTCTGTACCTTTCTGGTGTGGGCAGTCTGTCGCCCCGCACCCCCAAACCATACAGAGTCGTCACCCCGCTTGGCCTGAGCATGCAAGCCAGGCTCACCCGCGTGCCACAGTCCCTCGCGGCCACACGTTAACCCCGCGTACTCATCACCAGCTCGTCGGATCACCCGACTGTCTACTCACCGTCTTTTTGGTCGTTAGCCGATCCTCTTGACCGCACTAACTCCCAAGTGGATTAGAGAGCCCATTAGTCGCGCTTGTGGAATTTATAGCTTATGCATCAGCGCGCAATAACCGGGATTGCCAGAGAAGAATAGGAGAAAGGAAGGAGGAAGTGCCTACGGCTACATGGCTGGGCCGCGGCATGGGGAACATAGCCTCACTCCACGCTTCTATCCAGTCATGTACCGATCTGGCGAATGAGATAGAGAAGGGAGAGCGCACGCAACGACGCGAGAAAGAATATTAAGAAAGGGGAAGATTACAGTTACATCTGCGTAAGCAAAGAAAGAGCAAGAAGAGATTACAATTGAGGTTGGAATTTTGGCGCGGCGGGAATAGAGCGGAGGCCCATGTGCTGCAAAGCGCGGGCTCATCACCAATTCAAATATTCCGAAGGAATTCCCCGCGCGATTGCCGCGCTAAAAAGACGGACTTGTGTCGAAAAAGAAAGAAAAGGAAGAAAAAGGACATAGCAGACATTATTACCCTGCGCTCACTAAGGCGCGGGCCAACTACCCCGAAGTTCATAACCCCCGCCTCCCTTCTATCGAGGGACCAAGAAGAAAACATCGAAAAACCAAGGAGGGACTGCCATACAGTTTATCCCCGATCACTTCTATGTACCCCCAATCCTGGTTGTGCAGAAGATGGCGCTTATCAGAAAAAAAGCTTGTCACATCGTAGGGGTTCAGCGGTCAGGAAAATTGAGTATTTTACCTTATCCCCCTCCCGCATCCCCACGCGCTCACAAGTTTGTGTTGTATGCTGTATTCTACCGTTTGCTCTTTTCATTGTCGCAGTTTGGTGGACCTCCACCGCAGTCGGGGAGTTACGGCCGTGTCGTACGTGTCGTTGATGGCTGACCTCTATCGAAGGCTGCTACTGCTTCTGCTAGTCGCGATTTTGCTTGTTGTGGTCCTCCGCCCTGTCGCCCCATTGCCTGAGATCCTCCCACACCCCACCCTTCTCCTTTTCATCCACCACCTCGGCGTCGCTCATGGAAGAACACAGCAACCCATGGCGCAGCAAACCTGAACTACAGCCTCGATGATGACCACAGTATCCAGCCCTTCAATCGGGACTTGATGAAGCATCTTCCTCTTCGGCGTGCGGATCTGTGCTGTCATTCTGCCCAATGCCCTCTCCTGTTCACAACCAAAGAGCACGGCCGTCATGGCCGCCATGACGACCGTCTTCTCGATCGTCGTCAACTTTGCACGTTCGTCGTCGGCGCCGCCCTCCATCGGCATGTGTGTTGCAATGCTCATCAAGTAAGAAAATACACAACAGCCTACAAACTCGCCATGACCACGGCAACCTCAGCGCCAAGTCGCCGATGACGTTCCTCGCGTGTTTTCGACTCCACACATATGCGCGGCGGCAGGAGGAGGTGATGGTGATAGACCTTCGCAGGCACTCGCAAGTTTGTGACGACTAACGACGACTCCACTGCACCGCTGCAAATGCCCGTTTCCACCCTTGCTAGTATGCATGCGACCTGCCCCGCGTCGCCGTGGTCATGTCCAACACCCAATTTGAAATTTGATTTTGGAATGGGGAGGTCCATTGCTTTTTTTAAGTTTCTTTTTTTCCCGTCGCCAGCGTCTTTCAAATTTTCACACCTTCGGCAGCTGGACCACACCGTTGCGAGACGAACATCACCCAATGGACCAAGGCATTGGGCCCCCCTCGCGGCCGACTCTAATATTATGAAAATGGCCGCGGGAGGGCAAAAGGAATCATCCTTTGGGGACCATCCGAGGATAGGTGGAACGACGGCGGAAATTTACTCCGAAACCCCGAAGGCACAACTTCATTTTTTCGGTTAGTCCATTGGCATTCCGCCAGTGGCTGCATGGACATCTTCGGGCCTCAATGCTGGGATTGGGTTTCGTAGTCAATTGGGCCTGTCATCTTGGTCCGTCCCGCCAGCTTGGTAGGGGTTCAACGGTCGGGAAAATTGAATATTTTAGCCGATCCCCCTCCTGCATAGGTGACGAAAAAAGTTAGAGTGCCTGTGTTGTATGCTGTACTCTTCCGTAGGGGTATATGTGAAAGATGACTAGTCCAATAGGGGTATCTGCCGAAGATGACTGGTCCAATAGGGGTATATGCAAAAGATGACTGGTCCAATTTTACCCCATCCCCCTCCTGCATAGGTGTGACGAAAAAAGTTAGAGTGCGTGTGTCGTATGCTGTACTCTACCATAGGGGTTTATGCAGAAGATGACTAGTCCAATAGGGGTATATGCAGAAGATGACTGGTCCAATACGGGTATATGCCAATGATGACTGGTCCAATTGGATAGTGGGGTATTTCCGCAGAGTTTCACAACTGTCATAGGGGCATTTCACTGTACCCATGCCTGTTAAGGGAATCTGACAGAATACGCCAACTTTCAGGGAGAAGCTGAGGGGCGATTCCATACCAAGCTTCCTGCACATGTGGCGGGCTGACCCCCGGGGCAAGGTCCCACCACTAGCGAAGGGGATTGGATCAAACGACCTGAATCTGTGGTCCCCACCACTACCAGGGATTGGATCAAACGACTGAATCTGTGAACGTGTTTGTGGAGAGGTGCACGAAATGGCAAATGGTATGCTTTCCCTCTGCATAGACCACGTCCGGATTCAGACAATCCAATCTCCTTTGCTGCGGGGGCCAAGTCCCACCAGCAGCGTTGAGTTATTCCTCCACGCCCGAATCTGGACGTGCCTGTGGAGAGGTGGACATAATAGCGAATGATGATCTGCTTTGCCGCATTTCTGCATAGAAAACGTCCAGATTCAGACTCTGAAGCAACAGGGAAAGGGAAAAAAGGAAAGGTATTGCGCTGAACTGTATATATCATATCAATAGTATCAAATGCAGAAAATGTGCCAGCAGGGTGGGAGATGTTGAGGGATGGGTTGTACGCAGTTACTTTAATTAGGGTTCATGATTAGTTAGGGTTTGTTTAACATGCTCTTGTTTTGGGATAGGAGGTAAATGGCTACTGTAGTGTACCACCATTTTTCTGTGGAAAAAAGAGCTAAGTTTCTTTGTTAAAAAAAAAAACTCAGGTACCTGGACCTGTGCTCGAATGCGGTTGGGTTATGTGCTCCCCCTGATGCCTATGTCAGACTGAACCTGGCCCGTCAGATGGCCAGTCGTCTGACCTGTACGAGGGCCACAGCCACTGGAGGCTGCAACCACTGGCCAAACGCCAACATTGGAATGTACTTGGACCTCACTCGCTCCCGATACGTTATTTTTTTTGGTCTTGAGCGAGTCGTCCGGCTAGGTAGCCCTTTAGAGCCAGATCTTAGAGGTCCGAACCGTGCGGGGGTTTTGACCTTCCTGCGGCCCCGGCGCAATTCCCCTACCGTCCTGCAGTTGAACCTACTTAGGGTCAGATCCTTTTTTTTTTTCTTTTTTTTTTTACCCTGGATTATTCATTTTTCACCCTCGATTACGAAGATCAACGGTCAGAAATGAACAATAGGGACTAGTGGGATCTGGCCCTTAGGGCCAACTGCAGGCTACACGACTCTGTGAATGTGCAAAAAGCGAAGGAATCTTCCGCTAGAACTTTTTTTTTTTTTTTTTAATATATATTGCCAACTGGCCCTTTTTGCCGCTAGAACTTTCGAAAGATACAGCGCCATACATATTCTTTTTTTTTTTTTTCTGTTTTTATTGTCTTTAAAATTTAAAGTCTAAAGTTTAAATTTAAATTGTACAGAGACAATTATCATACATATTCTGTCTTTTGTGCACGTGGTGAGTGGTGGGGCGAGGCCCGAAGGGCCCCCAACCGTCCTGGGGTCGGACTGACTTAGGGCCTTCTGACGTGTGGCAGCATATTGGACGAGGTTGGATTGGCTGTTCTCATGTCCCCCCTCAACTGTTTGGGGGTGGGGCGTGCTTTGGCCCTAGTAAGGGCTGGCAGCATATTCGCCCGTAGGTGGGGCCAAACTGAACCCCCAGCATCTTTGTGCACCAGCGGCGATCCGATCCGGGTAGGGCTGATTGCATACTCACACCATGACTTTTTCTAGTAATCCCTGGACGTGATTGCAGTCAGGTTCATCCAAATGCGGCCGAATTGCAGTTGCATACATTTACGGTAGTAGGAAAGTACTATCGGGAGTGCATGCTCGCAATAGGACTTTTCACTTTTCATTCATTCGCATTCAATTCAAAATCTGGGGCCGGCCTCGCCTTGGGCGTGGTCCCACTAGCAAAGAGGATCGGATCGAATGTCTGAATCTGGTCGAGGTTATGGAGATGTGCAGGAAATCGAGATTGAACTGCTCTCTGCATCTCTGCATAAAACACGTCCAGATTCAGGAGCTCGATCCTATCGTTCTTGCTAGTGGGACCTCGGCCCTTATGAAGACCGATTCTGGGAGCTTTCCCCAGTGTTCGCTTATGAATGAAATGACCAGCCTCTTTTTTTTTTTTTTTTTTGAGGCAACCCTCATTTACATCCTACGTACCTTACTAATACTACAACGATTAAAAAAAAAAAAAAAAAAAAAAAAAAACGAGTGCTTTAATCCTTTCCCAAAGGATTTCCACCCACCGCCCATTATCCCTAAACGTGTACCTAGTACATAATATTACCCACCTCCAATGTAGCGCTTCATATCTGGTTGCCTAGAGTGGGCGACTACCAAGCACGGTCCAGAGCCTAAACCAGCTCGGGCGTTGGAACTGTACCTTTCTCTAGGACATTTTCTATTCTACTAACCCCTCTAGACGTGATTGCGGTCACATTCATCCTGCTNAACCAGCTCGGGCGTTGGAACTGTACCTTTCTCTAGGACATTTTCTATTCTACTAACCCCTCTAGACGTGATTGCGGTCACATTCATCCTGCTGTAGCCGCAATAGGTGCCCGATGCATTTACCAAAGTGCAAGACTTAGTGTGAGTATGCCCTGACTTTGGTGGTGGTCCAAACCCTGACGTCCCTCAGCAGCAGCAATTCTGTGTACCCGGGTGAACCCGCCGCCACCTCATCCTTCTTCAGGGTACCGCAGTGTGCGACCACAGTGCCTGAAGCATGCAGCTCGGTAAGGCGCGCCGATGTTGTTGACCTCGCTTTGCGCGCTGCAGAAAAGTGGTGGGGCCGGAAAAACGATTGCGGCAAAAAGATTGGATTGCGCGCAGCGCCGATGTGACGTGACGTCGGTGACGAAACTCGGCGCGCTGCAGAAATTGATCATCATGGGGAAGAAGAGAGGCTCGCACGGCGTGGTAATCTGTGGAAGGGTGATGACCCACTACGCGAAATCCGACGTTTTGAATGTATCTATCTATCCTCCAGATACATTAAACTTCCAGTCCTAATGGGAAGAGGCGTGGGTATAAGCTTAAAAAAAAAAAAAAAAAAAAAGGCGTGGGTATAAGCTTGTAATCAAATTCGTAATTGGAGCCTTGGGCACTGAGTCTGCATTTGGCGAGGGCTGCGGCGAGGACCAAGAAGTAACCTGTAGGGAATGGGAATGAGCACATCACCCAGGGGCGAGGTCCCACTTCCAAAGAGGATGGGATTGAACACCTGAATCTGGACTTGTTTGTGGAAAGGTGCAGAATGTCGAGATTGAACTGCTTTTCCGCATCTCTGCTTAAAACACCCCCAGATGCAGGATATTTATCCAACCCTCTTTGCTAGTGGGACCTCACCCCAGGATTATTATTATTATTATTATTATTATTATTATTATTATTAAACATAGGCGATTTCGGATCAGGCGAGATTCTGACCGGGCTATTACTTTTCTTCTCCCTTTTTTTTTTTTTTCCCTTTCCCTTCTGATTTTTCGAGAGATGAATTGAGTCCTTGGGTACAGATTGGAACGATACAGAGAAGATTAGCATGGCCGCTGAGCTTTCAAGGATGACAC